CTTCCCACACAGTGGCAAAAAAGTTGGGGGCAGAATTTGGCCTTATGAAACCATTACTAAGTGTTCTAACTAACGACTTTGGAATGCAAAGAAACAGTGACATCTGAGAAGAGCTTAGGACTCATCGGAGAATTAAAATACGACCAAGATTGCAGATTTTGGATGCGTTGACACGTAACACCACGACTATAAGTGACACCGTTCTGCGGCGCAGATATGCGAGAATTCAGCTTAACCCTCAATCCTATTCTACTCGATAATTAGACTACTTGAGAATCAAATTTGCCTTCTTTATAAATCAAGAATAATTGGGCTAAGAGATTATAGAGTCAAGCATATGGAGAAAGTTAAGTATACAGCATCAATTCGTTCCCCAGAGGAAAAAATTTTAGGGTATTTTCAATAACAAACCATTCAATATAAGCAAACGAACACAAGCAATGGTACTACACTCTGTCCCTTTGGGCAAAAAATTACGATAGCAATGCATACGAACAGATGAGAATAATCTCTTTTGAGACGTTTTGCTAAATAATCTGTATTGCAGCGTCGACGGCTAAGTGAACGTATTATTGGCCATCACCATGTCATTCGCCAAGAAAAAGTGCCTCATCCTCGCTTATTGCAAAGAGGGCTCGCTCACTTGCTTAAGGTGAAATGGATATGGAGTTCGAAGCCAATCAGTGTGGTGGGGGGGTGGGGGGGAGGGGGAAGGAGGGAATGTTTTTTTTTTCAACCCAACTCTACCTTAATACCCCGCTACGTGATGTTCATTCCAAATAGGGTCGATTCAAAAACATCAGATGGAAGTGGTATTGAATCGCTTGCAAGGGATCATAATGTATTCATCTACCTTGTGTTGAGAGAATCAGAAGCAATCATAAGTAGTGAAAAATGCTGAGTTAAATGGGTCTCTAGTGGCATAATCCCAAGGCATTTAAGAATAATAGAAAAGTAAATTACCCTCTCAGCCAGTTGATCCTCCTTCTCCTCACAGGCTTTTTTGTATAGTTCTGCAAATCTTCGCTCAATCAGCAATTGTTCTTCTGCCTGTTGAGCCCGATCCACTAGCTCCTGAATTCGCTTCAAGAGTAGCTCTGTGGCCGCAGAGGTGGTAACATCAGCACCACCAACGTTCGCGGAAGTAGCATCCAAAATTGAAGCAGCATCACCTTCGGGAGCAGATTTGGTGGCGGTGAAAGCAGCTGTTTCAGGCATTGAGGCAGTTGCGACAGCATCTCCCTCTCCACTACTTAAATCAGCAGTGGAAGGCATTTCAACGGGCAGAGAAGCCTGACGACGTTGGGGCGGGGCTCCAGCTGACTGACCCACGCCAGCGGTCAAACGATCCGCCATATCGGTAGCGCGCTTCGCAAGCAAATCAACCGCCTTGGCTTTTTGTGCTTCGGCACTCTGCCTCGCCTTGCGCTCCGATTCAGCTATGGCCTATGTGGACATCAGAGTCCGAATTATTGGTTTGGAAGATCCAAAAAGTCAATCACCAAATTGCAAATTTGGTGTACTACCTATTTGCATTGCAATGTAACCGAGATTATGACAGACACAACAATTCCAGGTCCCGATGGAGGAAGAAGGGAAATGAACGGAAACTCCTCAGGCAGACTGATGGGAAAGTTTTAAAGGGAAGAGAAAAGGTTTTTAGTTCCATAAAAATCTACAGAGTAACTGATATTAAATAAACATGGTATGATCGTTTCAGCCTCACCATTCACCGCATTATCCTCAGGGGATACTTTACCAAGTGATAACTATCACGTTTCCTGGGCAAATGGGTGATTACATGCGGGAGAGATCAAAGGGATGGGAGGAAAGGCGCGATGATAAATATGATGGCGCCTAGAAATAGGCTTTCTAGCGATAAAAGTTGAACCGCCTGGATTCAGGCCCTACTATTGCGGCATGTCGTCGAATAGCCTGTCAATGATAGTTACCTTCGGATCTCTGCTTCATATTCCCGACTTCAGCATGCAATCAAACGGCAAAAACACCGTAGGGTGAAATTGAGGAAAAAATATCGTGACTTATAATTCCGCCACTTGCAAGACAACACTTGGAGGTTCAGAGCTGTGTACAACAAGGCGGTTAGTCATCGAAGTTGCTGCGTGCGTCTGGAAGGATGAGTCCTCGACCTACTTGTTTAGACACATTATGAATACACGTAGAAAAATGTGCATATCCCTGAGATAAGTCTTCACGCCCTAGGCAGCGCTGCTATGCATCCACACACCTTGAAGTGGAGTAAATTTCCATACTCGAAATCCGCGCCAAAGTGGACTCAAAAGAGCGCCAAAAAATAAGTCAATTAAGCATAACTATGAGAAAAGAACAAAAAAAGAAGGAGATAGAGCGGAAAACCAGCTTCCACGAGAGTTTACCCACCGCAGACTAATGCAATTACCGTAGATAGCAAAAAGATGCAAATGGAGGGAGACTTTTTGAGTATCTGTGCACAATGATTTCGTCTTCGACTTCTGGTCACTGCTATCTACACATGAAATGCCATCCCTGGGCCAGGACACATTTTCGGGCGTCATGATGCACCACTCAAAACAACAAACTAATTATGCATGCAGGTGCAGGCAAGTTGACACCCCCGCACACACACAGTCTGCCTGGTGGAAAGTAGGCACTACTTTCCACGAATAATAATACTTATTATTAAGACAGGAGCATACACACCCGCTGATGATGAAGGGAAAGTGTGGCGTGTCTACTTTCGGTTGATGGAATGGAACAGCTGATCACGTTGGCGTAGAGACACCTGACAAGTGAGCTGTGGGGGAAGGTAGTGAAAAGAAGGTCAGTACTGTCCTCTGTAGTGGATAAGACTGTGGCTTTTGGGGGCAACGAGTGATGGAAGAAATTTCCAAATGGAATTTCATAACTTTTCTGAAGGTAGAGAGGCACTAAGAGGAAATGAAGAATAAGAAATCGGTCGTACAGATCAATTTTCAGAGTATCAGTGTTCGTGAAACCTTTATTTCTAATAACAACGTGATTTCTCAAATCCGAGATATGGCTACCCTGCACGAACGTCAATGGTAAATTCAATGCCTTCAGAATTAGTCAAGATGAATGAGAAAAGGGAGTCACCTTCAGCTTCGAAACCTCAGTCTCCATCTGATGCACAGCAGAGGCATGCTCCAATTTGAGTACCTCAATCCTGCGTTCAGCGTCACTGAGGCTTTCACCGAACCGAGCTTCTGCGCTGGCTAATTGTAACTCCGCCTGGGTAAGTGCCTCCTCTAAAAGCAGGGAAAACAATTTACTCAGTGGATTTTTGTTTTTAAGCATTTTCTTTCCAATGCTCCTTGGTGGAGTCAAGAAGTAGAATAATAATTTCTCCCCAGTATGCTTTGCAGCAGACCTATCGCAGATATTTTGCTCTAAGTTTCCCAACAACGACATGATGGCAGCGTGATAGGACTTTGTTGACACCTTTTATTACCTAAGAACAATAAGACCATCATAAAAAGGCGTCTATTGTGAATGATTGGCAGACAAATGGCTAGGCATTTGGCATAAGTTTATGCCTTTATCAATGACATTTGGGGTTGAACGAACGAATGGATGCATTCTACATCCAATAAAAACACAAAAAAAATTGACATTCCCAACTACGTCACCTCATCACTAATAAGTCTGGCCAGTTCTTGTGGACACCCTCAGGACTTTGAGTTTCCAACATCACTAGTACGCTCTTCGATCCACGCATAAATGTCACTTTAGGAATGGCTGATCTCCGTCTTTGACAATTCGGAATATGACGAGATACTATTCCTTTTCAATGAATGGTCCACACATAAGCTGCACAGATACTTTTAGCACGAGGCATTACAATGGCCAAACAGACTCTGTCATATAGACCTTCATTTTGAAGGCAAAATAGTCTTCCTATTGATCAGGATATATGAATAAAGACCTCACCAAGCAATGCGGAAGTTCTGTGATAAGACTAAGTTTGTTCTTTACCGAGGGTTCTCAGAAGAAAAATGACAATCATCAAGGGCTTTACTACCAAACTGACTGACTCAAAGGATGCTCAAAAATGTAAAAAAAGTAAACAATCATTGAATGCAGCTTCACTCTTAACTAAATAATTTCGATAGGAAGATAAAACTTATTCTTGAACCCGAAGCGTCATAAATGGGTGATACGATAAAAGGCATGTCTTGAAATTATATATTGAATAGCTAACCCAATTCATGGATCCGCTGTGCCTGCAGACTAGACTCCCGTCCATTCTTTGCTTCCTCGTCCATCCTTTGTGCCTCCTCATATGAAGAGACTTCATGAACCAAAGACTGAGGAGGTGCTAGGTAAATACCGGACAACGGAGCCAGCTTTGGTGAGGAAAACGTAAATCCAGCAAAGCTCAGCTGACTACCGTTAAAAGTGTCACAGTCACCACCCCCATTTTGTCCAGCCTCTACTTCTCCCGTCCCCACCGACGTCGATTCCTCCAATTCTTCATGTTCGGATTGAAGTATGTCCTCCCGAAAGTAGCTGGTATCAGTCTCCGAAGCCAAATTAGGATGAAAAGGGCCCGGAGAGATAGAGCGTAAAGTCTTCCAAGTCCAATCAAAGAAGGCCTCATCACCATGCTCATTAACACGAGCAGGAAGACATTCAGCAGTAGGCCATGTCGGAGCAAACCATGGATGGTTGCGCACCTCCTCTGCTCCGCCTGGTCCACTGCCAAGGCGGACATCCTCCGATGAGAGAAGACCTATACAAAAAAAGAGATACTAATGTGAAACTGCCACACAGTGGTAACTTGTAAGTGTATTCCACTAGCAACACCTAACAGACAAACAGACAATTATGAATAAAAACCTAGACCCGTGTAACCCTTACTGAAGGCGTCAAACATATCACGGTAATGTGCAGCCCCTCAGGTATAGGTCAGTTGGATGGTTTAAGTGTAAAACGATCTCGGACGAGGTCATTCCCGTTTAAAAATATGGTAATCATTCATATGAACATGCAGCCCGTAAAACTTGTGATGGACGCACAGCTTGATCGAAATTGCAGGGGGCAAAGTGATGGACACAAGAGCTCATAAAGACCAGAGTTTTGTGGTTCCTAGCATCATGTCTAGAAAAACTTGATTAAGGTAAACTTTTAGTCCAAAAGCACAGATGCATGTGCATTCAGCACTGAGGATGGAGAGAAACAGCTTGTACGAGAAATCAAGCGTCATGCAGTTGGGCTGGAAGTGGAACCAGGAAAGGTGGCTGTTCGAAATTCATATGATCTGCAAATTATCCTCCTCAATCTGGAAATCTAGAAATATTGCCATGCTTTAGCACGCAAAACCAATCAGTGGAAATTGGGTATGACTCGGCGTTCTCAGAATTGAGTCAACCACGGATTGAAATAAAAGGATTTAATTTAGCGGAATTTAGCAACAGGGTACCTTGGCAATCCAAGACACGAGAAGTATTCAACGACATGGTAAGTTTGTAACTAAATGCTACAGCGACAGGTAGTCATTGCTGTTGCCACTTGAATGAACATTCAAAGCAGTTCTGCATTCGTTCAGACAGGCATGAAACGGTTCTTGAACAAGGTATTTTGACCTCTTCTTCAAAGTATTAGCATTCTTTATTAGATTACTCAATTAGTTGCTTTCCAAGGAGAAGAAAATAACAAAAAGGATGATGAAGAGGGATTGGCAGACCGCTTTCATACTTTTTCCCCGGAGGAAGCACAAAAACGAGGCAGGGAAATAAAGTACACTTAGTTAAGACACGCACCTTAAAATGCATTAGGTTACCAAAAAAAAGAAAATCTATTACGCAATTTAGCGTAAAAGCTGGGGCCCGTCTTAGTGCAAAATAACCTAGACGGCGCTAGTTACTGAAAGCTTAAATGATAAGACGGGTCCGGACAGGAATTATAGCGACTGGTTGATCGCTCAAAACAAAGCATCTATGGGGACAAAAACAAAGAGAGGCTTCACTCCTGCCTACAAGGCAGTGATACGGTCCACATTGGCTCCAAATAAAAGTGAAAGGTGCAGAAAATGTCAAGCTGAAGAGAGGCTTCAATCATCAGCACCATATCGCCTGACAATTCAGAAATGGGTAAGAAGCGATGTTATTGGAACTCCTAGCACTGTTTTAGGGTAATACGACCTTTAAGAGGCATGCACTTCTAAACCACCTCCTTTGGCGATTGTAGAATCTACCTCGGAAAACGCAGTTCGTTGATGCAAGTGAGGTAATAGTAAAGTGGGGCGGGAGATGCCTCAAGCAAAGATAGCAGTCAATAAAACAACAGAACATTTATTCCGTTTCAAGCAATCCATGTTCCCTTTCCAATCCTGCTGCTGACTCACTACTTGATTATCGTGAATTCATTACCAAAAATGAGGCACATACTTACTTGGTGGAACCGGATGATTCGGAATAGCGACGGCAGGAGGTAACCTATCTTAATACAGCAATGACCGAAATGGCTTTCGTCCATTCATCCCCATCACTAACAGCCGCGCAATGGAAGTGTCAAAATGTCATATGTGGTAAGAGTAACTCGAGGATAAAGTGAGCGATAAGAGCGTGAGCAGGTAAATAGGGTCTTATCTCAAGAAAATATCTACTTGTTTCTTAGCTTATGGAAGAAGTGTAACACTAAGACTCGAATCATCCAAATGGTGACACAATTATGGACAAACAATGATGCTGTCGTTGGAGCATTTTGTTTACTTTGATGAGCGTGCCATTCAGCTTGTATGAAATCAACAAAACACATTTGTGATGGATCAGGAGTGTCTACGAAAATATCTCTTGTGCATTCAGAACAAAAGGTGCCCTTGCGCTTGAGGAAAGGAAAGCAAAAAAAGGCAGTAAAAACAGCAATACTCTGACTTTCAGACGGATAACGAGGCGTTTGCTCGTTTGACCGAATGTCGCACACATGCACAACATCGACAATTCATCAGATATTTGTGACAATCCTACCATCTAGTACTGATGATGGGACAGCGATACCAATAAAAGACCCAACTATTTCCTTTCCCAATTTCTAGGCAATAAAACAAGGCGTGTAGTCTTAAATATGTGAAATGGTGGGGGTAGAATCACAGTGTGAGTACGTACGCTTGATAAAATCCAGGCAGGACGGCGTGATGGCTATGTCCTTGGGCAAGTGAAGACTGGTTGTGTGACTCATAATTTTGGAGTAGGTTGTCACCAGATCATCGGAATAGAAGGGTGTCTCACCACAAATCATCTCGTAGACTAAAACACCCAGAGCCCACCAATCCACAGCGAAACCGTACTCACCGCCTCCAGAACTCTGCGAAAATCAGAGAAACGTCGAAAATGAATGCACGTTTAAAGGCTGTATGAACACTTGGAAACACCTGGCAAGTGGTAGCACTATTCCAACACTCGCAGACCACCACATTTCTGAACATAAGTCGATTAATTGCCCACAATCACTTCGGTTCTCGTGGGTTCTACAACATATTCTCCACCTTAGTGCCACTTCAAAGAGCTACAAAATAACTTGACGAAAGGTATAATGTGTTTAGAAGTTGTAGGCTACCATTGACACTTTAAGCGAATGTTATTATGTGAAAAAATCGACTTCGGTGACGCTCAGTGAGGGTTATGAAACGATTGGGAGAGGTTCGTGAGAATCACCAAGCGCAGGGATGCCTTTTCCACCGCCAGCTTGAATATTGCGAGAAAAAGGCCCTTTCATTACCTGCGAGTAAAGCACTTCTGGACTAATGTAATCCGGTGTTCCTACGGCACTTTCACAGCGAACTCGCTGCGTATGAGGATCAACCCGAACACAGGTTCCAAAGTCAGCCAGCTTAATATGGCCACTCATATCAAGTAGCATGTTGTCTGGCTTGATGTCGCGATGGATAAAACCCATGGCGTGGAGATCGCCGAGCGCTTGCGTTATCTCCGCCGCGTAGAAACGACACACTGTCTCGGAGATTAACTCTGCCTCATCCATCCAACAGACTAAAGTTCCACCGGGTACATACTCCATCACCATGTAGAGGGAACGCACATCCTGAAAATGGATGTATCGGGACATGTTTAAACCAACGAATGACTATGAGCAGTAGGCACTAGAAAAGTACAAAGTGACTCTGGATGCATTATATTGGGCATGAGTTTCAGTAGGAAGCCTTGTCTCTAAAGTTGTGGGAAAAGCTGATATCGCACAGATTAAAAGACATACGGATTTATGCTTCAAGATTGGAATGATAAATAGTGGGCATAAATATTTCGGCATTGTTAAAGTGGTGCGATATTGCTTTGATGAGATCAAGTGGCGAGAAGGTCCATTTGACGTGTGAAAAATTTGGTAGCATTTTCAATTAGAAACGGATAAAGACCATGATAAGGCGCAGTCTATTTGCCTTCCTTTAACAAGTCAATAATGTTGCGATACGATTAATCTAAACATAGGCGAAGAATTTTACGAAATAATGGGCACACAGCATTTTAGGACAACAAGGAAACAGTAAAATATGCAAGATCAGGTGTAAAGGCGATAAATTGGAAAAAGTGAAAGGAGATCCTACAAAATTTTCAAGACTGCAAATTCTAACTCTAGGGAAGGCTGACTTGACCCTCGCAATTATAGATGTACGAGAGATGGACATAACACAAAAGACGTACAAAAGATATAACTATCGCACATGTTGCGACACAAGGAAGAGCTAACCAAATCACTGAAAGCCACATTTTAGCAGTCTATAGGCGCGTCAAAATATAAAGAAAAGTGTAAACACCGATTTCTCATGTTGTACCACTGAAGCAACCCCATATACAGGGTGTAGGAGTTACGTAGGTAGCAAAAAAATATCACAATCTGTTAGTGTAAAAAAATTAAATGACACTGAAATCAATTTAAAAATTATGAGAGGCCGTTGTTGAGAAATAAGAGATGAAAGATCGATTACATACTTGAACAATATGTTGTCAATGCAAAAGCGGGCGTAAACATGTAGCGGATGCGCCATTGCTCGATAATAGAGACCAAGCCTATCGTTGCAGCAAAATTAATACGCACAGTTCTCGATGGAGCCAAGACAAGCTCCCCACTTTACTTCAATAGCCAGGTGCAGTATACCACCCATTGAAATTATGACTAAAAGTACTTTTGTGGTGTTAATTCATGTAATTATTGGAAAACAGAGGTGGATATCGCAAGCTTGTGAGATCTAGCCAGTAGGATAAAAGACGCAATTATTAGGAAGACCTAATTATCAAATGAATGCAGTGGTAACTGTGTTGCCATCGTGACATTTCGAGCTGTAAAGTTAACGCCGAAAGTAAATCTGAAAAAGTGCCATAAAAAGTGAAGAGAACTCCGCAAG